TTTTTTTTTTTTTTTTTTTTTTTTTTTTTTTTTTTTTTTTTTTTTTTTTTTTTTTGTAAATTCCCATGTCTCATATAAAATAAAGTGCAGCCAATGGATTCTATTGAGGAAATTAAATCATTTTTATCGTTCCTTTTTCCACATATTAAACCAAAATGAGTTTGACCATGTTATAAGATAAGATCCCAGGTCGAGTGGGAGGGTAAACATTCTTTATAATGGTGTAGAAATATTTTCTTAACAAACTCGTATAATATCTGTTAGTGGTAGGTTTGGGCGGTTAGAAATGGTATCAGAGCCAAACATCGAGCTGGTGTGCGAGCAAGGACGATGGACCCTCGAAAGGAGGTAAATTGTGAGATCCCGTATGGAAGTGGTAGACAAGTTTTAAAACTTATAGGATTACTATAAAACGGTAGGTAGATTGATAGGCCATCACTTGTTTGAGTGGGAATGGTAGAACAGAAACTCCCAAACCTCGGAAAAAGCTCCAACTATAATCCCATGATGCTCCGGCGAGTTCAACGCCAAATAACACTGCAAAAGGTCCTCCAATCCCTTCGCCTCAAAAATCTCCTTCTCCAATATCATCTGTACCATTGACCTCTTGAAATCTTCTTGTGGTTCCTTCGATCTCTTGACCTGCACTAAGCTCTCCCCCATTTTCCATTCCACTTGACTTGGACACGATGCGATTTCACTTCTCTTCACCGGCGATCCATCGGAGGAGAAACTAATGGAAGAGTTCAACAATGCCTCTGTTCCTTCGCCTTCCTCTCCCTCGTACCCATACGACTTGTGCTTTGCCACGAATGCCTTGCTTTTAAGCCCCGTTTTCTTTGATTTCTTCTTCATCTTCCACTTCTTTCTGGTTATCCAGGAAAACGGGGAACGCCGATTCTCCTCGCCTGAAATTTCATGCTCTGTTTCGGCTCTGTTTTCTTTCACTTGCATTAGTCCGTTTGCCTGAGCGTATGATTTCAATTTGCAGCTGATGCAGACTGATGTGGACTCTTCTGTTGAAAAATCGGCGAAGAAACCCACTGGTGTTGATGGCGGTGGCGATGGTGGATTGTGGTAACAGCTGAAGCAGGAATTGGGGTTGGCCGGCAATTGCTTCTCGTAGTGGAAATTTTCCGGCGAAGGGGTTATGGGGAAAGTTAAAGGGTGTGGGTGTTTGGGGCGGCAGAATCGGAAAGAGGAGATGAAGAGACGGACTTTGAGCTTGAAACTTCTGGCCATGGAGAGAAGGGAGGAGGATGGCCGGCGAATTGCTCTGTTTCTCTGTGTATAAATAATTGTGATAAGAGAAAGTGGCCGGCCGGCAGCTAAGTTGAGCCAATAGGGTTGTGGTTTGGACCAAATCCCAACTGATGACGAGAGGTTTATTGGTACTTAATTGTGTAGAATTTTTCATGAGGTGTAGTGTATAATCGGTCATAATTGCGTGGAAACCTCTCCGATATGAATTTAAAATTTTTTTAGGGGAATTTCGAAAAGAAAAACTTAGAGAGAACAATATCGGTGAATTTGAGCTGTTACAAATGGTATCAGAGCCAGACATCAATGTGCCCGTAAGAACACTAGACCTTTGTTACAGACATGGTATGCCTGTTATGACGTTGAACTCTGATTATTAATGGTATTAGAGCTAAACTCCAAGCTGTGATACGGAAGAAAGTAAATCCTGCGATCCCACGTGAACAAAATAACCCTAAAGTTCGAATTCTCCCACTCGAATGGTGTTGCTCTCTTTTAGCAAGTTATATTCCAAATAGGTTATAATATTCCAACCAAGTGGGTCCCCTCCCCTAGTCTCCATTCCCTTTTGTGCGGTAGGCAAATTGCAGAAGAAGCTCTGTCCATGGCCTTGGCCCCATTCGCCCACAGTCACCATTCATGATCCCAATAAAAGCTTGCATTTACATTACGACAAAACCCTCCATTAATTTCTCATCACTCTCCTTTCTTTCTCACTCTCTACTGTTGAAGAAACACTCCCAAAAACAACCCCACTTTCTCCCCCAAAAATGAAACCCGACCTTTCACCTACAATGGCCGCACTGAAGAAGGACACCCCATCAGAAACTGGGGTCTCCTTTTTCCTCTCAAGAAAAGCTCGCTACAAGTTCTGGGTATTGGCCGCCATTCTACTCCTCGCTTTCTGGTCCATGTTCACCGGCTCCGTCTCCCTCAAATGGTCCGCCAGAACTTTCGCCAGATTCTACGACGGCCCCCGCAAGCCGATCTTCGACGATCTTGACATTCTGGTGATCCTTTTAGCCATTTCCATGGTGGGTTCTTGTTTTTACTGTTGTTTTTTTTTTTACTGTTTTAGTGTATTGTTTTGCTGAAAATTAGGAAGTTGAAGAGCGAGAGAGGGATGTCCGGCACATGTGGAATCTGTACTCCCATGGAGGCGGCGGCCGGTTGCCGCGATTCTGGTTGGAGGCTTTTGAAGCGGCGTACGAGGATTTGATCGGCGATGTTCCCGCCGTTCGAGATGCTGCGCTTTTGGAGATCGCTAGGATGTCTCTGCAATCTGTTCATGTCGATCCAATCCCGATCAAATCCAAGGTTAGCCGTCGAGATCAAACATTTTCTTGAACCCTGTCTTGTTTGTGAGACTGTTTCTGATTGAAATTGGTTTCTGAAACCTATGGGTTGGATCCTCTTTACGATGAAAAGGTTCCTTTCTCTATTTTATTTTATTTGATTTCAAATGTCATATTAACATTAAAAATACTTTTAAATAATTACTCTATTAATTAGGAAATGGAAAAAGAAATATAGGACTTCTCGAACCTCTCTCAAAACTCGGGATCTTTCAGACTATTCCTATAAACAAGGAAAATTAAATATATTTTAAAATTTTTAGGGATCAAATGAATCTATTTCTGAAACTTCCAAATGAATCTATTTCTGAAACTTTAGGGATCAAAGATTCTTTTTTTTTTCTTCCTATGTCATGTGCATTTAATTCTTATAAGAGTGGCACCTACTTTTTTCTCTTTTTTTGGCCACATGCAGCAGTAACAACTATACTTATCAAAAGTGAATGTCTCGGTCATGCGTGTTCCGAGGTGTATGATCGATAATCAAAATCATATGTACATTCGACAATGCTAGTTGTCAATTCTTTCTATTCGAGTTATACGCTATCAAAACCGTTGTTATTTCTTACTCACTTTTAGCTCATAACATTATTTTCTTTAGAATTGTTTTCAACGTATTTGATCGCTCTCGTTTTTTAAAACATCAAAGTATTATACAATTTTTTTATCTCAACTGACTGATATAGTTTAAATGGAATGAAATGTAACCAGTCAGTCTGCCATGTCTTGGTTGTATCCAACACCCAACTCTCAAACCAACAGCCTCCGGACACCTCCCTAGTAAGCATGACACTTTACACAACCCATCACATGCAGCATTGTGCATCGAGTTCCAGGCTCCGACACATCATACATTATAAAAATATAGCCTTTTGCTAACACTCACTAGAATAGGCCAGGCTATAAAAATGGTGCAGCACCAGCCCAGCTCACAAATTAAACTACACAATAAAAGAAGTCAGAATTGAAGTTGCATGCCTAAAGCAGCGGAACATTCCATGACCACTGCTGCGCTATGCATAAAAAGAAGACCAACAAAGGAAGCGAAACACAAAGAAGAATAAATTACCTCGGTTAGGTTAAATCCAATCCAGCTCAAAAATGTTTGTGACAGACAGACCCAATAAAACAACAAACCTAAGAAGACAAGACAGACAGTTAATTGTCAAAATCGACGAGCAACAGACAAAAATAGTCACTGCTGCTGCATCTCTCTATGATGTTTTGGTGGGTGGTAATTGAGGTACAAAAAAAATCCATTTACACGAAGTTGGATGCATTTATTTACATTTGCCTCCAAAGCTGCTCTCTTTCTTTCCTACTAATCTTCAACCGTCTGAATCTCACCCATCATGATTCGGTTACTAACTACATTAAACCCCAAAACTGATGGATTGATCTTCTTTCCTTTCTTTCCTTTCTTCTTCCCTCCACCTTTCGCCGACCCATCTCGGCCAGCAGACAAGTCCGGGTCCAGATCCCCCCCACCAGCATTGCCGGAATTCACATCTCGGGAAGCCATTGCAGATACCTTCCTCTCGTTCCAACTTTGGAATGCAATTTCAATAACATCTGCTGGGAGCAACTCCTTGTAATTGAGGAATTGATCGATGAACTCATGGTCGGGATCATATGATCCAAGATTCTCTATCAAAAGCAGCTCTGCCTCAGATCTTGACTGCTTCAAGCAGAATTCCAGGAAACTCGTGTCTAGAACAGGCAAATAAAGTTCATACTCCATTAATAATAAAAGATAGACATAAAGCATGACAAATAATTTTCAGAAAGAATGACACGTTCAAGTATTTATATGCTTAAAAGGTTGCATTTTTAATCATGATAGATGCGTTTAATATATAATAAGAATGAGGGTCCAAAAGAAAGTTAGTTAGATGTTTCTAGTGATGCAAACATTAACTACAAAAAAAGGCCTTAGTTTTCTCAAATATTTTGTCATGTCCATGTGCCACTCTGTGAGTGATCTAATACTCCAGTGTGACGAAATCTCATAAATGTCAAATCATGAGCCACTCTGTGAGTGATCTAATACTCCAGTGTGACAAAATCTTATAAATGTCAAATATCAAAAACATCGTGCAAACCATAAGCATCCAATCTTCGTAGGACATATTTTTTCAAGATAGGAAACGATAATGCATTCACATCCATGCCTCATCGGACATGAATTCATAAGCAAAATGTCTATGTCTATCTTCAACCAGGCAAGAAAGATACCTTTTGTCCCAATGAGCCTTACACATTCATTCTCACACCAATCACGGAAGCCCATAGCTTCTACAAGGTGAGGAAAAAACTTTATCATTATACATGCCAAAGAAGATTTTGGCAAGAAAAAGGGAAAGAAAAAAAAAAAAAAAAAACCCAAACCCTTCCTAGATACCTTTAGGGGGGAAAAAACCATAAAACACTAACCTGAATGTTTGGTAATTGGATCTTGCTTGCCTTTCTGAGACGATTGTGCAGGCGAGGACGAAAGATGGTCAGCTTTGCCACCAGATGATTTTTGTCGGCTTAACAACCCAGTTGAAGCTACTGCTTTTACAGGGGTGTTCCTATTTCCCCAGTTTCCGTGGCTCCCAGGACGTACATCAACCCTGAAAACAAAAATATTGCTTTATTTCCCTTGAAAACCAGAATCATATAGCAGCAATGGTGGCTACAATGGAAAAAAAAAAGCTACATTGTTACAAAACACAGATCAAAACTCTGACCCAGAAGAGGGGGGTAAAACCATACCGCTGATTCTCCTGCTTTGACTCAATGGGGCCCCAAAATAGGTCATCATCACCTCCATGTTTTGACTGAGTAGGAATATTCTGAAGGGGGGATGATGCAGCCTTCGATGGGGAAGATGCAGAGAGAGACCAGGAAGGAGTAGTAGTGCGGCTGCTACGACCAACCTGAGTAGGCTGAGCCTTTTGCGGAGTAGAGATTTGTTGAGAATGCTGAGCAGCAGAGATTTTTCTTTCCTGCTCCATCTGAATATCCCTCAAAGATGTGGGTTTGGCGACCTTCCCAGAGTCACTGGACCATGCTGGAGCAGGGGCCACATTAGCAACTTCTCCCTTCCACAGAACAAAATCACCAAAAGAAGGCCCAGAAGGAATGGCGGGCATCGCTTCCTTCTCTTGCTGCGTCTGGCGGGAGATTTTCCCCTTCTCAACGGGACTTAAACCAACAGGCACATCAGCAGAAGGGACTGCAGAGGAGGCCTTGGTACCAATACCCTTAGCCTTAGCAGACTTCTTGCGGCTCTTTTTTGTGTCTTTTGCCTCAATAAAATTTTCATCCATAGGTTCTGCTCGCACGGCCATGACCTGAGGAGAAGAAGCAATCTGAACAGTGTCAGAAACACGAACATCACCTGCACCAGACTTTTCCATATCATCTTCCGCCAGCAGATCATGCAATTGGCTCTTTCTACTTCTTGAAGTCAATAAATTTTCATGTTTCTCACTTGATTCTGAATTCACAGAATCTTTATGAATTTCTCTGGAAGCTTTTGGGTCTGAACTGCTGACGATTCCAGCCCAAGGAGTTGATAAACTCATTGTGTTGATAGAAGTTGAAATGTCTGATACAACAGTTTCTGTATGTGCCATTTTCTGCTCTTCCTCCTGAATCTCCAATAAAGACTTTGGCTTGAAATTCGAAGCAATTTTCCAAGCTCTTTGACTAGATTGAGTTTGTGAATTAAGCACAGAATCAGACCCAATTAGTCTGGACTCATCCCTCACTTGAACAGTTTCACCATCGTTCCAGGAATTTACAGCAGAGGCAGAGCTTTGATCTAGCTGACTATCCACAATGGCAATTTTGCCATCCCCATCTCTGATCTTCCGAGGAGAGCAAGCCGTGTCACTTGATTTTCCCACAATATTATCTGACTTCAATTTCAAATCATTTTCTGATTTCCCACTTTTTGATTGCTTTGACTGCTGAATACCAGAATTCTTAGAGTCCTTGGCCTGGTCAGAGGACAGCAACTTTGAAGATTTTTGCTTCTTGGTCTTTTTATCAGAAGATTTTCTAGGTTCTTGTACCTCAACATTTTTCACTTCTGGCTCCAAGGAGGTTTCATCTCTGCTTCCATCCCTTGCCAGCTTTTCCATAGGCATACTAGCTTCTTGAACCTTCACAGCAGGTACACTGTCGGGAACGGAAATTTCAATATTATGAACTGCTGCTGGTGGTATAGCAACTGAGATTTCAGCGTTCTTGAGAGGAAGAGGTTCCATAGTAGCATCAACAGATGAAAAAG